GGCTGAAGAAGAGAGAAAATAAAAAAAGAAACACTGACAGATTTATTTTGTGAACCACCTAAAGTTACAAATAATGGTGCTGGTGATAGCGATCATGTGGTGAATGTTGATCCACCAGCCGAATAGAAGGCGTACAGTTTTCGGAGAGAGTGGTTGAAAGACTTCTAGTGGCTCCGCTATGAAAATGGTTCTATGCACTGCGTTCACTGTAAAGCCTGTGGGACGGAGTTTGCAGGTAACAGCGTTCGCCACCGAATCTACACATTTCGTAATTGTTGTTTTACGATGTGCGGTTTGACATTATCGAGTATATTGCAAAGTCAAATCCAAACAAAACACACCTACATTGAGTGCACGCATACATGACGTGAAGTCTATTAGGTTAGATTAGTGCGCGTGCGCGTTTAGAGTGCGTTCTTTCACGGCATGATTCAGTCTATTATAATGCATCACAAAATTCAAGATATGGGGTCTTTACATCATTTCATATCGTTCAGGGGTAGGCAAAATGTCCTGCAGAGTTTAGCTCCAACCCTGAAAAAAAACCTCACTTGTCTGTAGCGTTAGTAATCCTGAAGACCTTGATTAGCTTGTTCAGGTGTGTTTGATTAGGGTTAGAGCTAAACTCTGCAGGACAGCGGCACTCCGACGTTGCCTATCCCTGATATAGTATCAATATCACAAGAAGAGTGCTGTTTCCTCCAAAAATCAGCCTGATTACAAATGTGATATTGATTTTATACAACTGTTCAATAAAAAATTAGTTAATATTAAGAGACTTACGTTTTAGACACTATATTAACTCTTTTTGCTCCATTTCGCCTGCAAAAATAATTCCAAGCAGTCACAGCGCTGTTTTGTGTCTCTGAGCAACATAAGGGCGTTTCGTTCCTGAATGTATCATTCGTCAAATGATTCGGTTCAATCGCAATGACTCACTTATTAACAGTGACTTGCTGCCACCTGCTGGCGGTTTTAATTTCACATTTAAAGTTTCAAATATTTCAAATATCAGTATTCAACGTTTTATGTTTACAATATTAAAATATTATTTATGCATGTGTAACTGCAGGCTAAATGCATTCATGTCCTGCATTAATCAGTGTGTAAATGCATCTAAATGCCATTTCAGATGCAGCTTCTGTGTTTCCTCTGCATTGCAAAGATGAATTTTGTTGATTGATACTTTCATTTGCTTGATAACAGCCCAAATGTCTTATTATAATTGACTGATTAAATATAAGAATTTGACTCAAATGATAATGCACACTTTTAGAAAAAATGGCTTTAAGGTAAAAATGACCATAAAAGGTAAAAATCTATTTAAACTTATTGGAAAAGATTCATTTCTGTCACTGCTGTGAACTGACCACCACACAGAATATGAATATTAAAAATTTTAGGAGTCAGCTGTCCACTGTAGTCCTTAAGATATCAGCACAGTAACACTCAGTCAAATTATTGTTATCGATAAAATCCCAGAAAATATCGAGATATAATTTTGTCAATATCGCACACCCCTAGCTGCCAGCCGTTCGGTGCAACTGGCAGAGCTGAATGTAAAATTTAACACCGCATACACCATCCTAACACTTGCCAAAGAAGAACTTAACTTTAGGTTATTTACAAAAGAAATCTGTCAGTGTTCTTTTCATTTTCTCTCTTCTTCAGCCCTTTCTTTTTCTCGCGGTAGTTAGCGGAAAGCAGTGACTGAGAGATTGACAGCTAATATTAACCAATACAAAATCTGCATTAAAGTTAAGAATGTAAGGATAAAATCTGTTAATATATAATTTGTAGTTGTGGTGCTCCTAAATTTTTGGTGAGTGCTCCTAAATTTTTGCTGGTGCTCCTAACTTTTTGAAGTTGGGAGCACCAGTGCTACCAAGTAAAAAAGTTAATTTTGAGCCCTGATGGACTTTGTTGATTTACTTAGAGCACAGTTTAAGTCACTTTTTCTACCAGTGCTTTCCAAAGTGAACACAATGTCACACCAGGCACCTTCCTGACCTTTTGTCTTGACATCAATGACTTTAAACTTCTCATATGGAGGAATCAGCACCTCTTGCTCACGTTTAAGCTTAGAATATTTTGTCACATCAGCACCTTCACAAGTGTGGATTTCAAAACAAGATACAGTTCCAAAAAATTTTGCTCTTTCATTATTAAGAGACGATGATGCAAATGAGCCAAAACGAACCTCGTGGTTCTTAACATCCTCATTAAATTTAACTTTTGTACCACGATAAGTCTTAATGCATTTGTTTTGTTGCTTCAGAATCTGTATAGCATCTGTCAACAAAAAGTGAAGTGAATACCATTTGTATAACTTGTCTTTGTAATTTTGTTTACCAGAACGAGCGTCATTATTGAAGTCTTTAAATACTTGACTATCAGTGTACACATAAATGGCGATTAAATGATTCTTTGTCAATTTATCTTCTGGCTTCTTAAATCTCGTTTCACCTTTTCTCCAAGCTAAATTAAATTCTGAGTTCTTACGTTCCTTTATTAGATATTCTTTCTCCACCTGGTTTGCCATGTTCTCTCTACAGCCCTCATACTGATCATCAACTGAATTTGTTGCCATATTTAATGGAAATGGCTGTCCTTCAACAGCAGCAGCTCTGTGATCCTGCAGCAACAGGAATCATAATGATCAATCATCAGTATTCATGTCTGTAATATTCATACTAGAACCCAAGCTTACCTGTCCTAGAGCAGCTAAAATGAGAAGAAGAGCTTCAATGATCAGCAGCATCTTGATTCAATCAGATCCCTTTAGATGATCTTGTAGATCTAGTGAAGAGCAGATGCTGAAAGACAAGAAACACAACAGTGTTTCACAAATACTAAACCAGTATAATAGAAAGCAATATGTACATTGACCTTTCATGTGAACACCAAATTTACCTGAGAATATTGTTCTCTCTTGTTGTCAGATGTCAGTGTTTTCTTTTAGTTTTTTTAGGAGTTCAGGAGATCAGAAAAGTCAGCCACTCAGAGGGACGCCAACGACTCCTCAAACCAAAAGATGAGAAAATTGGCTGTTTTATATCCCTGATAATGTGTGTGTGTGTGTGTGTGTGTTGAATTAATCAACTTATATGATTTCATACAAGTTCACAGACAACAGTTAGACATGTATCAGTATGTTTTTATAGACACTAAAAAAAACTAAGGTGTAAGGTCCACCCAATTGGCCGAATGAAGGTATCCAATGGTGGCTGAAGGCTTCTTGCGTGTTCTGTCTTTTCGGTGCACAAAATAATTTAATTTAAATAGATTTTAATTTAAATTGATTATTCTAGTTAACTCTATGCTCTTATTGTACTCATTCGTTGGGATTCTCATGTCGCTCAGAGATCTCGCACTGGTCATTAGCGGACCTCACGATCACATACTAACCAGTCATGGGGCCAGATTTACTTTTGCTGTTAAAATAGTACTGTCAGGATTTACTAAAGACGTGCAGTGAAGGTGTGTGTGTGTGTGTGTGTGTGTGTGTAGATCATTATAACCTGTGAAGATCTGGTGTTTGTGTGGTTTCACACTTGACAAACTCTTGAGTCCCTGTCTGTCTAACATGCCAGATGTTTTCAGCCTGATCTCCTCAAAATGTGTAATAATGGTACATGATGGAAATTGTTGATGAAGACGATTTTGCCTTATTTTGATTTCAGCAGAAAAACAGAAGAGGTTGAAAGCACAATGATATAATCTCTATTCATTGAGTTTTATACACCTACACCTTTTAATGAAGCCAGTCTCTTTTTTGATGCTGTTGGTTCAGCTATTGAATATGCATTTGTAGGAGTTTCCCTTTCAGACGCAGAGTATTAAAATTAATCACGCAATGCGATTTTGTTTGCGCTCGTCAAATTACTGGTAGCCTATTTGCACCATTATTTAACGCCCAAAAAGCATGCCTTAAAGCAGGCGGTAATTTGCGCTGCTCTTGGTAGATTGCACTGGTCATTGTGGAAATGATCTGGCTGCGTCTGTTCTTTAATGTGTGCATTGTCAGTAAATCACACGCAGAATTTTCCCTCCCATCTGCGCTTTCATGGAATTGTGCTCTAACTCTAATTTGTCCTGTTTAGTAATCTGGCCCTTGGTTATTAGGCAGAGGTAACTGACTAATACTATTTGATGGCTGCTCCTATGTCTGTTTGTTCCAAAAGTGATTGTGTTCAGTCCCCATAGATCTGTACACACTTGAATAAAGCAACATTATTTCTAGTCAGAGGTCACGACCACTGCTATCGATATAAGCCGATCAACAATACTTTCCCTGATAGTAGCTTTGGTTTGGTCATGCCATGGGTTTCCCATCAACACTTAGAGTAACATTACAGTAAACAGAGGTTAGGTTCACCCTATTTAGTTTGGTCTAACAACATCCAGTCAGTGTTGGGTAAGTTACTTTAAAAAAGTAATTAATCAATTATAGAATAACTTTTTAAAGTATAACTTTTATGATTTTTAAAATAACTTTTATGAGTTTTATAAAACTATATAAAAGGACAGATAGCCTAGCTAGATAGTTATGGAACATGGCCAAAAATGATCAAGAATGTTTCTGAAAATTGCAACTACTTTGAACAAGAGAACTTAAAGTAGCCTATAGGTTGTAACGTGTAAACGCTAAATAACGTGTAAGTATTATTTTACATGTAAAACATGTTGCATTTCATTGGTTTGTTGCATTCTACAAGCATTAGCATACTATCCGCCCTAAATAACATTCAGTACTATCAGGGCCGGCCCGTGGCATAGGCAACATAGGCAGTTGCCTAGGGCACAAAATGACTGGGGGGCGCCCAAGCGGCAACCTCCCGCTCTCTCTCTCCTGAAACCAACACGGAAGTGACTAAAACTGCAATTCATCGACTGGACGCTAGAGGCTGGCTGCAAAAGGAGTCAGTCCCATAGACCCTCCATGTTAAAATGCCCAACTTTACAGCAGAAAAAAATATGTTTACAGCCTGGTACAAAAAGTGGTTTTGGTCTATATAGCTAATTTTGACCTTCATGGCAACTGTGAGGGGAGTGAATTTTTTTTATAACTCATCCGTTTAAATTATATTAAGCCTTAAAGTTCTGCATAATTAAGGGCGTGGCCACTTGAGTGACAGGTGGATTGCGCTGCTGTCACCACCGTCGAGCTAGGTGGGCGTGGTTTCAGAAACCAACTCCCGCCTCTTTGCCCATTTTCGATTATCGTGCGCGTGGTGACGCGCTGCCAAGATGGCTACGTCAGGCTCCACCTACTTTAGGCTTCAAAAACGCTCCTCGGAAACCTATGGGTGACGTTATGAACACTACGTCCATGTTTTCATACAGTCTATGGGTGTGCTGCAGAAAGTTTATTTTTTTTGGTCGGAAGTGCGCCCTCTTGTGACCATCGTGTGCTCCTACACCCATATATTAGGCTAAATAATGTCTGACAGTTAACATAATTTTAGTACTGATCAATCATCGAACTGATTAAAATAATGTTAGAATAAAATACAATTGACCTCAACGAAAAATCATAAGATTTGACATTATGTCATGTTGGACTAATTTAAACAATTTCTGCGTCATGACGTAATTATGGGGGAAGTCGTGGCCTAATGGTTAGAGAGTCGGACTCGTAACCCAAAGGTTGCAGGTTCGAGTCTCGTACCGGCAGGAATTGTAGGTGGTGGGAGTGAATAATCAGTGCTCTCTCTCCCACCTTCAATACCACGACTGAGGTGCCCTTGAGCAAGGCACCGAACCCCCAACTGCTCCCCGGGCGCCGCAGCATAAATGGCTGCCCACTGCTCCGGGTGTGTGTTCACGGTGTGTGCGTGTTCACTGCTGTGTGTGTGCGCACTTAGGATGGGTTAAATGCAGAGCACTAATTCCTAGTATGGGTAACCATACTTGGCCACATGTCACTTCACACTTCACACTTATAATATATCATCATAACACATTAATTATGCATGGCGCACGCAGTTAAAATAGTTTAGCCATTTATGTGCTCTTAAAGTATCATTTCTAAAAAAATTAGTGAAAAAAGAAAATTATCAGGGGCACAATGCAGGAAGCGATGCAAAGAAGAGGAGCAGAAAAATATCAATATAGAGGTAAAAATCACAAGTTAACAACTGTGTATTAGCCCGTGATGTTTATGCAGTATTTTGAAATAGCCTTTTTAGAACATCCTAACTGACAACACTGACACCGTGAAACGTTTTTGCTTGAGTTAACTGCTTATTTAATTTTACTTTATTTTCTTTAAAATAAATTTAAGCTTCTGTAATGTTGTTTTAATTTCAGTTACATTACTGCTTGCTTTTAATTCACCAAAAAGTGTCTAATGTCTTTGTGAAAAAGACCATGACTAGGACTATAATCTAGCAGTCATAAAATGAAATAATTAAGTTTAAGTATGTCCTTTTCTACTGTATGCACAAAATTGAAATGAAAGGTATGGGTATGCTAATTAGACTAACTAGCTAGCTAGCTGGCTAACATCTACAAATAAATGTAAAAATGTAGCCTTTATTTTGTTGCCTTTGTTGTCTGTTAGACTATTTTAGGCACTTCATATTGCTCATATTTATCTTTGTTGTAATAAGTACTTGTCACTGTAGGCATAGTTGTGGGAGTAGCTCATGTCTGGTCTCTTCAGTAGGCTATTTTAACAGATTCCCTAATAAAATACCTACAAGGCGCTTCAACATCTCCATTTATTTATTATCACAATTTATTTACTACTTATTTATGTTAATACTTATCAGTGTTTATTATATATTATAGTAAAGTTTAGAAAAATCTGCATTTTCAGAATTTCTTTAGTGGGGGGGTGGGATCTCTATTTTAGGGTGGGGGAAATCTAAAATCTCGCCTAGGGCACCAACAGAGCCTGGGCCAGCCCTGAGTACTATTTAGGGCGGATATTATGCGAATTGGGATGCAGGGCGCATCTGCGTCTCAGCCATGGCATTGTTAAATCAATCAGTGGGACACCTGCGCTTGCTTCAATTCGCGGTTCAATGTTGGACAGCGCAAGCCTCAGGTCATCTTCCACCTGGAGCCGATTTTGATACTTTGTTTTCAAAGCTGTCAATTTTGAAAACCCGTCCTCGCACAGATAAGTTGAGGTGAATGAAGAAGTAATTTTATAGCGGCGTCAGATAACTGAGGATATTCAGGCATCACGCTCAACAAAAATGACGGCAGAGAGGAAGAGCCGTAGAGGTGTCGCTCTTTAATTCGACTAACTGCTCCCCCATGTCAACTGGAAGGTCTTTTCCTGGGCAACTGAAGGGATCTCTGACCCAAGCAAATGAACTGAAATCCTCAGTGGAATAAAGGCCGAATTGTTGTTTTAGTCCCTCAACATGTTGAGTGACTGTATTAATCAAAGGAGAGATATTTATCCCTGTCTCTTGCACACAGTCGGCGAAGTTGGGAAACATGTCAACATTTTTATTAATCAGCCGATCACGCCAAAGATCCAGTTTGCCAACGAATGCACTGACTTTGTCTGAAAGGAGCAAGATGTTGGCATCTCTCCCTTGCATCGATGTGTTCAGCGAATTCAACCTGTCGAAAATGTCTCCAAGGTATGACAACTGCACTAACCACAGGGGGTCATCCAGGTATCATGCAAGGTCGGACTTCACATTAACAAGAAATGTCTTCACCTCTGAACGCAATTCGTAGAGGCGATGTAAAACCCGATCTCTGGAGAACCAGCGAACCTCAGTGTGAAAAAGGAGC